TCTCACAACCCTGATCCTCCTCCTCCTCGCCCACACTCCATCAATGTCGGAATCAGTGTGACAATGGCCACGTCAACATAATCGCCCTCAAGGCTGGTGCCTCCAACAAAGAATGGCGCCAGCATATAGCTTTAGCAGTCTTGCGCCATCGCACCAGCGTCAAGCCAGTGTCAAGCAGCATGCACAAGGCTGAATGATCTCCAGCAGGGGCTGGGTCAACATATAGTGTTGACTGTCATTGACCAGCCTCTGTTCTCCGGGGTACGATGGCCCGGATCAGTCGTCAGCCAATGGTCTGGATTGCATACAGTTGCAGATTCCCACACGTCCCACTTGGACCAGATCCTTCTAGATACCTGCAAACAACCAAAGATGTGTGTCCGACCTACAACCGAGGTTGGCAAACGGGTTGACTTTGACTTTAGGGCCTGAATTCCGAAGTTGGGGTTGACTGTTAACTACCTCTCGTAGCGCCTCTGACCGCCAGTTTTGGCCTTGTTTTGGGTACCCAACAACATCAGGCTCTCGTTCAGGCATTTTCATGACTCGGGCTTGACCTTCGGTTCCCGTTCGGGCTTTCGACCAAGGTGACGACCCTCAGCCCACGACTGATGCAGATTTGAGCTGAGCTATTGCATAATGTAATATAATATAAGATAAGATAAGATGTAATATAATCCTATCCCTTAAGAGCATTGGCCGCGACGAGAAGTCGATGGTCCGCTTCGCACCGGATTCGGGGTCGAAGTTTTGAGGAGGGCGGTGGAAGAAGTCGATCCAAGGTGGGGGAGTGTGCAGAGGGGCGCGTGTACCAAATGCTCGCTGCGGGCATGGGGCTGGGCAGCGGCGGGCATAGATGCGAGGGAATCTCTTGAAGCGCGCCCGCCGTCGATAAGCGGCCGGCGCAGATTTTTTTTTCTTTTTGTTTTCCGTTCATCACTTAGCGCAGCGGGGATTTTTTTTTTCTTTTGTTTGTCGTTCGTCGTTTTCGTGCCACAGATTCTTTTTTTTTCTTCTTTTTGTTTGTCGTTCGTCTTTTTCGCGCGGCAGATTCTTTTTTCCTTTCTCTTTTTTGTTTGTCATTTCGCACGGTGCGGAGGATTATTTTTTCTTTCTCTTTTTCGTTCGTCGTTTTCGCGCCTCTTTCATTATTTTGTACAGTGCGAAAATTGTTCATCGGGTAAAAGGTATTCACGGTGGTAAGGCGGCTGCCCATCTGCACGCGGCCGCCCAACCACCCACCCCCCGCCCGCTCGCCCACACACACATACATCCAGTCACCCACCTCCCGCCCGCCCGCCAGCCCGCCTGCACACACACACACACCGCCCGCACACACACACACCCATCCCCCGCCCACCCACACACACACACACCCACCCACGCCCTGCCCGCACACACACCGTCCCGGCCCTCGCCCACCCACACACATACTAATATTAATATTATGAAGTTTGTTGCTATTAGTTGTCGTCGGGGTTTGAACCCACGCACAGATTTGAGATATGCAACTGCCTGATCAAATAACCACTAAGGTGGACTGGGTCCCTGTATGTTTTGGGGGACTTTTTTAATGAAGTGTATACGACGTTAGGCAGCTGGCAGGTCAGGATGTGCTTGTGTGTCCAAACCCTAACGTTGCACAGTGTGGCAGGCGGGTCCAGTCCCACAATTTTGAAGCGCTAACTCAAGCGATTTTCGTGCTCAGACGAATTGAAGAAAAAATATCAAAAATAAAGATCTTGTACATTAGGTTGTGAAACTTTCCAAGAAAAATATCAAAAATGAAAAAAAAAAATAGACCGTGGAATAAATGTCGTGCCGTTTCGTTGCATTCTCCATTTTGCCATTCTGGCACGTGTTGGCCAACGAGAAAAGTACCCCAACTTCCGCATTTTTTTGCGCTCAAAAGGATGAATCCACAACTCTGCAAATTCAAGGGCCTATAGATTTGGTCGTGATCTCTCCATGAAAAATATTTCAAAATTTTCAAAAAATATTTAAGATCGTGAAATAAATGTCGCACCAATTCGTCCTACATTCTATTTTTGCTGCTTTTTGTTGCTCTATCACGGGTTGGCCGGGAAAAGTACCCCAACTTCCCCAATTTTTTGCACTCAGACGGCTGACTCCACAAAGCAAATTGAAGGGCTTGTAGATTTGGTTGTGATCTTTCCATGAAAAATATTTAGAATTTTTTTAAAAATAATAAAGATCATGAAATAAATGCCACACAAATTCATCCTATATTCTATATTTGCTGTTTTTTGCTGCTCTATCACATGTCGGCCAACGAGAAAAGTACCCTAACTTCCGCGATTTTTTGCGCTCAGAAGGATGACTCCACAACTCTGCAAATTGAAGGGCCTGTAAATTTGATCGTGATCTTTC